GAAGGGGTGGTTTTAAATATCTGGGGGTGTATCTGGGGGACAGTATCTGTAGTGCACAGAACTGGGATGGCATGGTTGAAAAGATTAAAGGACGCCTCAGTAAGTGGAAATGGTTAGTCCCCCAGATGTCCTATCGGGGAAGGGTGCTTGTTATCAACAACCTCGCTGCATCATCGCTCTGGCATAAACTGGCCTGTGTGGACCCCCCACCGAATCTGCTGGCAAACCTGCAAGCCGTGCTAGTGGACTTCTTCTGGGATCGACTGCACTGGATTCCGCAGGGAGTTCTACATCTGCCAAAAGAGGAAGGGGGGCAAGGACTCGTCCACTTGGCTAGCAGGGCCGCTGCCTTCCGAATCCAGTTCATCCAGAGACTTCTTGCTGGTCCCAGTGAGCTGGTTTGGAGGGCGGTATCATGCACAATATTACGCACAGTAGGTGGTCTGGGGTTGGACAGAGCATTGTTTTTAATGAGCACAAAAACACTGGACATTGCTGGGTTGCCTGTTTTTTATCGAGGACTTTTTAAAATCTGGGACTTTTTTAATGTGAATAAACAGGCTGGCTCCGCTTTGCACTGGCTGTTGGAGGAGCCTCTTTTCAACGGCACACGACTGGACTTGGAGGGCACGATCACCCCTGCACTGACTAGAGTCTTGTTGTCATCGGGAGTCACAACCCTCCGCCGGCTGGTGGACGTCGCCGGACCAGATCTCACTCGGGTGGAGGACGTGGCTGCGAGGCTGGGGATGAGATCTCTGCGAGTTGTGACTCAGCTGCTCGAGGGCTGGAGGACAGCTCTCTCTCCTGAGGAACGTGAGCAGGTGAGGGACTACAGTGCAGGGGTGGTCAGTCCTACAGAGCATGACCCATTCCCGGACATCACTATCACGCCGGACCTACAGGACTGTGAAGGCCCCCTTCTGGAGTGTGAGGGGGAGTCTAGAATGAACTTGGGGACAGTGTCTGGTAAGCTGCTGTATAGAGCCTGTGTGAAGGTACTGAATAAGAAAAGACTGCACAGTAGAACCGACACACCATGGCGTGATGTTTTTAATCTGAGTGATGATGTGAAGCCGGAGTGGAGAGCACTGTATAAACCACCATTGACTAAAAAAGTAGCTGACCTGCAGTGGAGGATTTTACATGGTATTGTCTCAGTCAATGCTTTTATTTCTGTTTTAAATCCTGAGATTTTACCACAGTGTCCTTTTTGTCCTCAGAGAGAAACTGTGTTTCATGCTTTTATGCACTGTTTTAGGCTTTGCTCTTTGTTTGAAGTTTTAAAGACTGTTTTTAGGTCTCTTAATGTGACTTTTACACTCCAGACTTTTATCCTTGGTTTTAAGTATGTCAGAAGAGAGAAATCCAAATGCCAACTGATCAACTTCATTCTTGGGCAGGCGAAAATGGCGATATATATCAGTCGTAAGAACAAGGTGGCGCATGGTACTGACTGTGAGGCCACAAGGATTCTTTCTAGGCTGGTCAGATCAAGGATTTTAATTGATTTTAATTATTATAAAAGCATGTGTGATGTGGAGGCCTTTGAGGCGATGTGGTGCTGTGGTGGGGCCGTGTGCTCAGTGTGCGAGGGTGAGCTCTGCTTCGCTCCTGAGCTCAGATGAGCCGGACTGAGTTTTATTTGTTTTCCTGTTTTTATCTATTTATAAAGTGTTGTCTTGTTTTTATTTAATCAATTAATTTATTTCAATATAGGTTAAGATGACAC